GGTCCTAAAGGTCATGCAGGATTTATATCATCAAGAGTAGAATCGGTAAGGGTTCAATATAAGGGTAACTCTTTTTCAGGGATCTAAACAGGGTTATCTGTTAGTGCTGGCTTCTAATTATTTGGGCTCTATACCGGCTCAGGGTTTCGGATTTTTTGTGTTTTTTCGTGAAGGGGCCGGGGTGCGAATCGCACGCCCCCCGCGCCAAATGTCGAAGCTGAACCGTCGCCATTTGTGAGTCATAGACCCTCACAAGAAGCTATTCGGCCTCTAGTGCCCCATACAGTAGGTACCTGGGGGGTTAGGGTATGTTGTGAAGGTATGGCTTGCGGTTGACAGTTGCAGTTTCAGCGTTCCGTTGAGGCTTCTTCATGGAGTGGAGCTTTGAGGTTCGTGCTTTGTGTTTCGGTGTCGGGAGGTGTGGTGGCCTCATAGTATAGTAACATCGTCTAGTACTGCTAGTTGCTAATCGTAAGAATCTTGAACACTAACAATAAAATTAACTTGATGTAAAATTTATTCCTAAACTCAAAGCCCGAAACCGTTTATTTGGGACTTGGGAGCTTGGTCCTGTCAGGCGTGTATTTGAACAACTGCAAATTCGGTCTGCATGGCCCGCCCGCCTCTGAGCATTCTTGGGTTTAGGTTTTAGGGGTTGAGGGTTTCGCTGGGATTTTCAGGACTGGCTTGGGTGTAATGTCTAGGCCTTAATAATTAGAATTTGGTATGGGTGGTCCATTATACTATAAGTATAATAAGGAACCCCTAAAATAGTATAGGCAATCATAGGGCCCCTATATTAGGGCTTCCTTGGTGTTTCACGCTCCAAAGCTCCTTAGCGACTTTGCGCTGTTCGGGTAAGATCTTGCAAGCCCTGAAGCCGAACATTTCGACAACAAGAACTCCAAAGCCATACCTTGGACCCGACAGATTTAGGGTTTAGTTTGGGATTTAGGGTTTAGGGTTTATAGGGTTTAGGATTTAGGGTTTAGGGTACTCCAGGGGTTCCATGTCACGACTACTTGCACCAAAAACCCGATTCTAGTTAGATTCGTTTGAGCCCCCCAAACCAAAACCTGCAAGCCCTGAGCCCTACAAGCCCTAACTCTAAACCCCAAGCCCTATATGCTATAGAGCCCGTATAGATTTCTTTACGGGTCCGTTAAGCTTTCTTCCCGTTTTCGTTCTGGCTTCCCTTCTCTCAAACAAGTTGTAAGACAAAGGGTACCCTTTTATTAAGGGGCTATTGAAACCCTAAACCCTAAACCCACTACTAGAGAACCAGGTTAGGGAACCCGTAAACAAACACAGTACTTCTTAGTATACAAGGCTTACAGTTTACTATCTACCCTAAACTCTTAACCCTACTTCGTAGTATAAATCCTAAACCCTCAACCCGAAACCCTGCATTCTACGATAAAGGTACTTAGGATCCTTTCGGGGTGTTCCATGCTAAAGGCCCCGAAACACGAAACCCACAACCCTTAAAGAAGCCCTACAATTACCCCCGAGTACCCTCAACCCTAATCCCTTAAACCCTGATCCCTCAACCCTAATCCATAAACCCTAAACCCTATATTCCATAAACCCGAATCCGTAAACCCCAAACCCTAATCCCTCAACCCTAAGCCCTAAACCCTAATCCGTAAACCCTAATAGTCCTTAATCCCTAAACCCTACTTCCTAAGCCCTAATCCCTCAACCCTAATCCATAAACTTATAAGCCCTATAATCCCTCAACCCTGAACCCTAATCCATAAACCCTAAACCCTAATCCATAAACCCTATGATCATCCTTAATCCCTAAACCCCAAATAAACCCTATAATAGTCCTTAATCCCTAAGCCCCCAAACGCTACGAGGCTGGAAGTCTTCTCTCAGAGCGCTGTTCGGGCGTTGACCACCAGCTTCCCAGGCAGCGACGGTATTTGAGCGTTTCCGAGAATTAGGGTTTAGGGTTTAGGGTTTAGGGTTCAGGGTTTAGGGTTTAGGGTTTAGGGTTAAGTCGTTCGCACAAGCTAGTCCTGGTGTCTGTTGCAAACCCTAAAAGGTGAAAAAAAAGCCATCTGGAAAAGGTGATTCGCAGTACCCCTTAAAAAACCAACGTAAAAAAAAACCCAAATGTAGCCTCCCCGGAAACGTATGAACAACCCGAAAACAACCCGAATTAAACCGACGAAAAACCCACTGAGCAGGCAGACAAAAAAAACTCGACACCATTCGCGCTGACAGGTCGTTATGCCTGTCGTTGGCTTAGGGCTGGCGGCTGGGTGGGCTGGGCTGGCTGGGGCTGAAGGGGCCAGCGCGACGGAGGGCAACCAGCCTCCCACTGGGCATCATGCCGTATCCCAGGGCACCCAGGGACCCAAGCCCCAAGCCTTTGCCTTTTTGGTGCCTTTGGTGTCGCCTTTTTTTACAGTTGCTTTCCTGACTCACGTTTCTTGTCACGTTTTTCTGTGTTTGCAAGTTTCCTTTTTTTTTTTGCGTTTTTAGGATTTGGCTTATTTCCAGCACAAGCTCGGGTATGAACTACTTAAGTTTAGGGTTCCTTATTTTAGGGTCCTTGTAATAAGGATCCTACTATTTAGCGTACTATATGAGGGTCCCCTATTTTCGGAAACCCCCATATGGGCCGAATGGCGGTCAGGATTTAGTGTTTAGGGTTTTGGGGGTTTAGGGAAAAAGGCTTGAGGGTTTGGGGGGTTTGGATTAGGGCTTTAGGGTTTGCACTTCGGCGGCGTGGGATCCCAAGTAATTATCCAACAATCAGAATCATGATTACCAACCCCAAGGACCCTGTTAACTAGGTTATTTTTAGATCCTGAGGGTTAATTAAGCCCTGGGGTTCGGGTATGATAGGGTTTAGGGTTTAGGGTTTTGAGGGTTGCAGGATTTTGTTGATGGATGCAGAACACACTTGTTCATGGATTTATGGCAAATTTATGGGCCGCACCGCGGTGGCTTAAGTCGTTCAATTTTGTTTTTTGCTTATGATTTTCATTCATGCGTACTTTAGCCCTGAATTACCTAAGTAGGAACCCTCTACGTCCACGGGAAACAATGGACCTGCATGAATACTCCTCCATGCACTTACTCGTCTCCGTGAGTTGTAGGATTTAGGCCTAACTCCACTACAAGCTTGTGGTCCGGGCCGATGTTGCCGTGAAAAAGGTACTTGCGGACTATACCTATAGTCTGAATTGTAGTTCCTTTTTGGGGATAACTTCTAAAATCCTTAATATATATTTGGTCAAATCAAAAAGAGGAACTACAATGGAGACTATAGCCACTAAGCGATGGTACAGTAGGCGCGTACTTGTTCAGGATGGCAGGACTAAGTCTCGGGTGTGGTTTGTGGGTTATAGCTTGTAGGTTTAAAAGGCTAACTTAGTAGAAGGCTTCCCCTCAGGGCCATGGAATAACACCATCTTCAAGCGACTCTCTCTTCTGAATGAGTTTCCTTCGCTGTTCCTAGATTGCTTTCTCATCCCAGGTTGGGATGCGTTCGGGTGAACGGTCTGACATAGCATGTACACATCGCCGGTAACTGCCTGTGATATTGAACATGTTTCGTTGCGTGCATCCCGAGCTCGAGATTCTCTACTTAGCTGCTCCAGCTACATGCCAGCTTCTGGAATCATGGCAGAGACGGCAGAGAATATGGCTTCTCTTTGTGGTGTTTTGGCTGCATGCTTCGGCAAGGACGGCAACTTCACGGTAGTCGTAGAAGAACGCTCGTCGGACATGCTCGAGAGCTCAAAGGAGTCTGAGGCGAGTGTGAAGCGCACGGAGTTCAAGGTGTGGTCTCTTCTGCTTGCCCAATGGTCTCCCGTCTTTGAGAAGATGGTAGGATCGGACAACTATGCCGAGTCGCAGCAGTCGCAGGTTGTCATCCAAGACTTCTCAGCTGTTGCTGTCGAGATCTTCCTGCGCTTCTTGTACTCTGGGAGCGTCGGGGGCTCCATCACTGCTCTGGTGGAGGTGGCCGCCATAGCCGACAAGTACCAGGTTGAGGCATTGTATCCTTTGTGCTTGTATCTTGTGCGGACTGCGCTCAAACCTGAGCTAGCCTGCGAGGTCTTAGCTGTCGCAGACGGTTTTCATATGGCTGAGATGCGAGCAGAGGCGCTCGATGTCATCTTCACCAACCCTAAAGAAGCGCTGGGAGAGCGTCCTGAAATCCGACCGGAGCTTTTGGAGGAGATCCTGGGCTCAAGCCTGCTGTGCATAGCAGAGGATGATCTGAAGGAGATTCTCCAGAGCTGGCGAACGAAAGAAGAAAACTCCCTGGAATCGATCATCAGCATCAACGTCCGAACACACAGCGAGCACACGGACAACGTGCTGTACACATTCTGGGAGCGCTACAGAAAGGCCGGGAAGAAGGGCACTTTCGTGGGCGGCTGGGTGGTGGTGATCCTGGGCCTTGAGCAGAGGGAGGCCTACACCATGGACCAGCTCCAAGACATAGCATCATCTACCAAGCGGTTCACCCTCGGAAAAGGGTGGGTGCAGTGGCAGCTTCTCCATGCTGCGGTTCATCTTCGGGGCTTCTCTTTCGGCGATGATGGGGATGCCTCGTTCTCGGCATCTTTTCGGATCTGGTCCTCCGAAGACGGCGCCACCTGGCACCTCGCCTACGAGTCGCTCGGGGAGGAGATCTTAGGTGACGATTTCTTGGCTTGCAAAAGACCTCCGAGTCTGGTGAACTACTTCAAAGTCGAAGTCCTGGAGGGTGAGCTCTCGGGCATTTACTTCAGCATTCACGGGATTTTGCAGACGCCCATCTGAAGCAGCCTTCCACAGATCAGAAGGCTGAGTTCAAGGTGCGCTTTGTCTAGCCGCTTAGGAACGGAAACAGAATGTGGAGCAGGCAAGCCCTGAAATCATTCGTCAGGCGTACAGGGTAGGTTTTGTATACGGAGCTGTGGCAGCAACAAGACTGCCAGTCTCCTTCTCGACACACCACGCATCAACGCGAAACAGGTCAACAGGGTCGTTGGGCAGAAGGGGGCATGCACAGAGCCCTGAAAGCATGTAGAAGAGCAGCCTGTGCCTTGTGAGCGGTCGCGCATTTCCGAGCAAACAATCCGAATATCGGGTGAAGTCGAACTATCCGAGCAAGCAGTATCGCAACTGCAACGTTACAAAGTCGAATCCCAGTTTACAGCCACAGACCTCTGAGCATCAAGCGCTATTCAGAACCCGAAACCGTAAACCTTACTTGATGAATCAGTCTTCCTGCAGCTCGACTTGTAATTTTCAGCGGTCCCTTGCACCCTAAACCCTAAACCATTCTCGTACACAACACTGTAGTATTGATTGCGGGCATCACGATTTGATACAGCGCGAACTATCTTCAACCCTCTATCCCTAAGTCCTATATCCTATAGGTTTTAAAACTTATGAGTGTCTTCTCCCTACAGGCTGCTTCAAGTATTTCCAGAAGCTCTGCAGTGGCGACTGCCAGTGGGGAGAGGACAAACCCTAAACCCTAAACCATCCTAAACCCCAAAACTAAACCCTAAACCCTAACCCAAGTATCTCCTAAGGGGCCCTACTTACCCCTAAACCCTAAACCCCAAAACTAAACCCTAAACCCTAAATCAGTCTCAGATGGCAACAGGCAAAAGACCCCAAAGGCCCAGAAAGGGCATGAGTACTGTACTAATCCAGCAGAAATTGTCTCTAAAGGTATGTACTGCAACCTGGACTTAAATCCTCTGGGTAGAGAGGCTTAGATCGTATGTAGATGTACCCGAATAGCATATACTGTGGCCTTCAGGGACTACTTTGAGGCCAACGTATGTCACTATTTGGGTTCTAGACCCTTCGTGTAGCTTTTTACCCTACAACCTTAAAACCTTAAGCCCTATACCCTGAAGCCTCAAACTGTAGACCCTTAAACCCTAAACCCTCAACCCTAAACCCTAAACCCCTCACCCTAAACCGTAAGCCCTGAAACCCTAAACCCTGAACCCTAAAACCTTAGAGTCCTTCAGTCTTCGTGTTCGGGCTTCGGAGTTTTGACCGGCTCTTGAGCCAGGGTTTAGGGTGTAGGGGTTTACGGGTTAAGGGTGTAGAGGTTTTGGGTTTTGGGTTTAGGGGTTTAGGGCTTTTAGGGTTTAGGGTGTAGGGTTTAGGGGTTTAGGGTTTAGGAGTTTAGGGGTGTAGAGTTTAGGGTTTAAGGTTTAGGGTTTAGGGGTTTAGGGTTTGGGGTTTAGGCACCCAAAGCCCAAGTCGGAGCAGTCTTGGGTCCATACTTCAAAGCGCATGGATAGTTCATGAATTCCCGCAGGGCCCAAAGCGATGCTTATTGACGGCTTTTGATTCTGTACCCCAATGGTCCCAAAGTAAGCCCTAAACTGCCCATAGGTCCCATAGTAGTTCCTTTTTGTGGCATTCCCTAATAGGATTCTTAATATGAACCCCAAAAAGGAACTACTATGGGGCCTATGGGTATACCCTGGACCCCAGGGATTCGATTTGCGGGCCTTGCCCGAAGCCGAAACCCTGAAACTTACATATGGGTAGTTCTCTAAATCAGGGTCCCTTCTTTGGATCCCCAATATAGTACGGCACCCTTATAAAGAGGACCCTAAAAGGGACCCTTTTAGTGAACTACCAATATGCTGCCATGTTCCACTGCCTCAAAAGCCGCATCATTCCGTGTTCGAGTGGAAGGCTATGTGACTACCCATGAGCCGCTTGAGAACACTTTTGAAACTCTGCAGAAAACCCCTCGAAGATCCTTAACAGTCCTGGGACACCAAAAAATCGATCCCACAGAACTATTGAGACCAATAGTTCTAGTGTTCTTAGGAATTCTGTTTCATTTTCATCAGAACATAACTCATAAGCATCATCAACGGATAGTTCGTAGTATAGCTTGAAAGGGCGCCCTAGTGACCTTCCAGCAGAGTCGACTTGACGAAGTCCCAATCCATACAAAGGCGGCGCAGGGAGCTCCAGCTATTCGGTATCTTGTACCTGGACCCCTAAACCCTAAACCCTAAACCCTAAACCCTAAACCCTAGACACCACAGAACCTACCTTTTTGGAGCTCCTTGTTATGGTTTCTAGAGAGACCGTCCGAAAAAACTGGTAGGTTACTTGGGGTTAAGGTAGGGCTCCATGTCGTAGTGATACTATACCTAAACCCTGAGGCCCTAGAGACCCTGTTCTCCTTATTCCGGCTGGCTATCCCTATAAGGGTCCATGTGCCCAAATCGCAAACACTTAAAGTAGTCCTATATAAGTGCTTCAGGGCCCAAGTATATACTATATACTATATGGGCTTATGGACCCGCAGGGTGCGGTCTACACCGTGTAACCCTAAACTCCCATAACCCTAAACTCCCAAACCCTAAACCCTAAACCCTAAACCCTTAAACCCTAAACCCCAAACTCTTAAGCCC